AAAAAAGAGAACATTTTACGATCTCTCTTGAAGAACAATGCTGTCTGTGATAGGATAATATCCATACACCTACAAGCAAGACCAGTTAAAAGTAGTATTATCAAAACATACACACCAACCATTAAAACAAGTTATTACGAAATTAAAGAATTCTAACAACTTCTTCAGTCTGCAAAACTTCAAAATATGAAGCACCAAACATTCATCCCACGACACTCTCTACATTTCATTTGGATTGATCAATCAGCCATTGCAGTGGCCACTCAGAACTCAAGATGCCACACTCACAGTTATGAGGTTTATTAGGAAAAGTTCACAGGTTACAGTTCAGGGTCAGAAATGCTCAGGGCATAGTTGTTCCAGTCAGCTGCTGATAAATGTCCATAGGACAATTCCTAACAAATCTTTCAGTGTACCCAATCAAGTACAGGCTGAAGATGGACTTACAAATTCTCTGTAATCATGACACCCAGGTGTCTCAGGTAACTCCAGTAGCAGCTTTTCTCCCTTCAACTGCAGTACATCTCTTACATTTCTTTCAGTCATTACAGAATACAATAAGAAAGTAACTATCTAATAAACAAAATTTTCACTTTCCATGTCTTTTCACTCTTTCTTTTACTTGTACAAACCCGCATACTTCTATGAGTCTACAGACATTGCAACAAACCCCATTTTTTACAACAAACTAAAGATTAACAATGCATGACTGACCATGCAATCAAGATACATTCGTATTTACTGGTGCTTGGAATGTGAAGGTTGGAAACACACAGGCATTTATCAGCAGCTGACTGGAAACAAAGAGGAAGGATCAGTAGTTGAAAAATATGACCTTAGTGATAAGAAATGATGTTGGAGATTGAATGACAGAATTTTGCAAAACCAACAACTCATTCATTGCAAATAACTTTTTTAAGCAACATAAAAAGTAACTGTACACATGGACCTCCAAGATGGAATAAACAGAAATCAAGTGACTCTATCTGTGGGAAGAGATGGTAGAAAAGTTCAATCTCATTAGCCATACAAGGTCAGGGGCAGACTGTGGAACAGACCAACTGCTCACACAAAAGTCCAGGCTGAAGCTGAAGAAAATTAAAACAAGTCCATGGAGCCAATATGACATTGAATATATCCCACCTGAATTTAGAAACCATCTCAAGAACAAATTTGATGCATTAGACACTAATGACCAAAGGCCAGAAGAATTGTGGGATGACACCAAGAACATCATACAGGAAGAAACCAAAATGTTATTAAAAAGACAGGAAAGAAAGAAAAGACCAAAATGGGAGTCAAAAGAAACTCTGAAACTTGATCTTGA